CACAAGTTTAAGTCCCAGATTTTCCACTAATTGGATCTGTTATCTAACCACTGCTAAGTCTATCCTCTCATTTCTAAAAAAGTAATAATATTCCATAACTTCTCTTTTCATTGAGTTGCTCTAAGTGGCAAATGCTGTGTTACATATACACATCTCATATAAAGGACAAAGTCATATGCAAATATACAGCATCACCTTTCATTTTCTTGCTGAAATTATTAAATAACACTATAGCAGTAAGTTTTATGTAAAAACTTTTAAAATAAGAGCATATATTAACACATTCCAACTCATTTATGAGATGCTATGTCAGCTTAGCAAGAAGAAACTCCTTTAACCATCAAGAAAAAGGAAAACTTGAAATAATTCATTTAGTCATCATTTGTTCAGCTTGGGTCAAAAGGTTAGATAGACTCTTAAAAACAAATACACATTAAATGCCAGGAACTAATTTTTCTTTTAACTGAATGCTGACTGACTGCTCTTCCCTTTACACAAGAAGCCAATGTGTCTAAGGAGTCTCATATAACAGCCTGATTTGTTTTCCACAATAACTCACATTATCTAAGTAAGTCACTTAAATAGTCCTTTTCAAGCTTTACAGTACCACACTACTCTGCCAGAATAAGAAATTTTCCAAAACACTAGCATTCAGATACCATCATATTCTATCTTCTTGTGTTATTCCTAGGGTTAAAATCATGGAAAAATTAAAGAGCACAGCAAAATAATGACTAATTTTGGTCTTAAATCTGTTTCATGTTTTTCTAAAACACCACATAGCAGTTTGAATGTAATCAGAATTTAATTGTTTGCTAAATAAATTGTGAATGTTTTGCTAAGCTCAGCCTTAGAAAAAATAAGAAAATGTTCCATAAAGTCATTATTCTAGCAGACAATTACAGAACCCACAAAAAAAAAAAAAACATTGGAGTTCAATAATTTATAAAAAGGATGGGTTACAAAATAAAGTGTTTGGTAATATATTCAATATACACTATAAAAAGACAAATTCCCTGATCAACCCATTTTACATCATCTAGAACCTTGCTAACAAATCAGCAGAATCATCTATGAGTTAGTAAATCACAAATAAGGAATCTCAGGTTCCAAGCATATTTACTAAATGAGAATCTGCATTTTAAGATGCCCAGTTAATCCCAATGCTCATTTAAATCTTGAGAGACACTCATCTAAAACGTAAGTTAACGTAAGTAAAAACTAATAAATAAGTAAAAGTGACCTCTTGTACTTACAAGACCTTCAGGTCCCATTCTTTTTGCAGATAAAAACACAACTTTAATAAGTTTAGCTTGCTAGTATTACATGTTACGAACAAACTGGGAGATACCACTGATAAACAAGAAAGAAAGAAGGGGAAAAAGCAATCTCAGTGGGCCCTCACTGGTGGCACAGCGAGTTGAAGTGTTAGCACTAAGAAGCTAAAGTCACTTCAGCATGAATTCGATCCCGGAGGTTACCCACATGGTGTGGCAGACCTCTCCTGACCTGCCCAATGCTTCCCTCAGCAGTGTACCTGTTCGGTCAGCCTGTTCTGCTCCTCCGCTCTGTCCCTGAACCTCTAGCCTGTACCTCAGTTCTATATGCATAAATAAATCTTTTTTAAAAAAAAAAAAGCAATCTCAGCACGTGATGGCTATATGAGGTCGCTTAATATAGTAACAGATCTTCCCAGTCTGTCTACATAGGCTCTAAAGGTTTCATGTATTGTAGAAGTTTAACAGTAATGGTTGTTCCCTAAGTGTGCCTCCTCTAAACTAGATCACAAATTCCTTGAGGGCAAAGACCTAGTTTTATTCTTATACACTTATATTTGTAAAATGAATTTTAGGTTAGGCAATGAGTTGTACAATAAAGAAAAATTTCCATCTGTAAAGTTAAAAATGTGATAGCACTTTCTATAAAAAGGGAAAAACCTCCCTTAACTATACAACAACTCATTTACTAAGTATTCTAAGAGCAGAGACTTTACTCAAGCTATTTATTCTTGACTATTTCTAGGGAGCCAAAGAGTGTAGTAAGTAGAGAAAAGGTAAAAATATTAGAATAGGAGACTAGAAATCACAAAAGATGGCCCTTTCTGGTGACTCGACAGGTTAAAGCACAGCACTGCAAAGCTGGCCAAAGCTGCTTCAGTGTGAGTTTGATATCCCGCTCCAGAGGTGATCCAGATGGCCCAGCAGACCTCTCTGGTCTTGCCTGGCCTGTTCCGCTCCCTACTCTGACTCTGTAGATCCTCTCTTTTCCCCTGCACCTCTAGCCGTACTCCAGCTCTGTAAGCATAAATAAAAATAAATCTTTTTAAAAAATTACAAAGATTTCTACCATTTATGAAAATAAAAAGAACAAAAATAGAAAGCCATACTAATGATACAGCAATCGAAGAAGAGAATACCCTAAAAGAAAGTACATGTAACAACCATTCTTGCTGCTTTTATTGTCTCTGTGAATAAGACACATGCTCACAAATCCTTCTAACCTAAACCTCCTCAAAGACAAGTTAATTGTTGAAACACTTCCCTTTCCTGGACCTTTTTTTTTTTTTTTTTGGCCAATGACTATATTTCCTCTTTTCAACATCTTGTTCTGCCTCTTCAGGCCTTTGATCAGATTACAGTGAGTTTATGCTCCAACTATTCACTCTTTCAAATCAGCAAAAGTTTCGTGAAATGCTTAATATTAATTATCTTAAAAAAAAGGATTTTTATTTATGCATATAAGAACTGGGATGTAGACAAGAGGTGTGGGGATGAGAGGATTTACCAGAGACAGAGTGGGGAGCAGAACAGGCAAACTGATTTAAATAAGCTAGTGTGGTGAGCAGCCCGCAAGACAGGAAAGGTTTGCTGTGCCAATGTCGGTAGCTCCTTGGCCAGAGCTCTAACTAGGGGATGGAACTCAGGCAGTAGTGGCTGGTGATAGCTTGATAATGCTGAACCTGTAACCCCTGCATCACCAGGGAGGCCAAATTATTAGTTGTCTTCTTGTGTCCTTGTTTATGCTATTACTGCATTCAGAGGACTTTTCCATTTCTTGACCTGATTTCCCCTTCTTGAACTACCTAGTATTAGCCATGGGCCATGTGTAACTATCCAACACTGGAAATGTGGCTTGACCAAACTGTGACTTAGGGTAAATGTAAACTACACACTGGGCTTTGAAGACTTGATACAAAAAAGATAAAGATTATCTAATTGCTTCTTAACAATTATTACATGTTGAAATAGTATTGTAGGTATTTATGCTTAAGTAAAATAAGGTTAATTTCACCTGTTCCTTTTGAGTTTTTAATGTACTTAACTAGGAAATTTTAAATACAAATGGGACTCACTTTATACTTTTAGGAACAGTGATAGTCTAAATCCTACTCATTCTTAAAGGCCTGATTCATACACCTTTGTTTCCATGAAGCTTTCCCCACTAAGACCACGAGGAAGTGGTTTCTGTTCCCCTGAATTTTCAGAACAATTTTATTCACATTCCTAAAGAAATGAATCAATTTCATCTTGTTGCTTGCTGAGTCACAATTCCCCAACTCCAGCATAATCAAACTGAACAAAGAAACATTCAGGATATTGTAAATTTTCCTCCTATATCTTAAAGAGCACAAAGATTATCTTTGATGTCTAAGTGTAGATTATTCGAATACTAAGTATAGGTGACTATATCTGCTATTCCATTCAGAGATTTCCCCTTAAAGATTAAAGCTTAAAGTCCATATCTACAAATGACCTGTTTACTTTTAGGTAAACTGACTGCCAGTGAGCTGCACACATATAATATATCCAGCAAATCTAAAACTATCTAATACACGTGCACAATACACTAAGATAAATGGTTGCGATTCGACAAGCCTCTAAAAGTTCTTTTTCTTTTTTTTGCCTCTTGATGATGACGTCCATAAATGTGCATCGGGAAAAATCAACTGATTCAAAAGCCCAGTGAGTAACCACACTGGCAAAGGTCCTAAATAAATATCAAAAAGTCACTGAAGGTGGTCCACACACCCCCAGGTATAAATCAGGTAATCAGGCAAAGATTTGAGAACACCAAAAGTAATGGCCCACATTGTATCCAAAGCTGTGAAAGTAGTTTCAGGAGTGTTAGGAAGGAAAATGACCTGTTTGAAAGCGAAGAAAACTGGAAACTCCTGGAACACGAAAGGCTTAATAAAAACTAGGATAAAAAATTTCAACTACGTGGAACTACGTTCCTCTTGCAGTGTTGTCTCTTAACCTCTGAACCCACAGGCAAAGATCGCGGTGGTAATTTGATGAGATCTTTTCTTCAAAATGTACTCTAGTGCCTTAGAATTGCATCCCAGAAACTTCCTTCCTAGCCAGCCTACTGTAACTCTCGCGGCAGGGCTCTGGCCAAACGCAACCGCGAAGCCACCTTTCCAGCAGTTTGGATACCGGGGACGAAGGATACAAGCTGAAGTGGGGGGGGGGGGGGCGAAGGAAAGCCCCGCACGTGGACGACACTTCTCTCCTGCAGTGTCTGGCCTCGGCCCCCAGAGTGGGAAGGGTCTGGCTGAGGGGCCCGGTGGGGCTGAGAGGACGCGGCCAGAGGGGGCGGGGCAGGGCTGTAGACTTCGCCCAGAAGCAGTCTTCCCATTCACCGCAGGCGCTTGACCGGGCCCCCGGAGCCCACAGGGTGCTGAGGAGGAAAAATAACAGGGGCCGCCAGAATCAGCCCCCAGCTCTCACTCACCAGCCGTCGCCGCTCGACGTTGGCAGCGTCAGGACCTCTTCTCCTTCCGCCATTGCTGTTGACGTCCACGTCACTTGGCCGAAAAGTGGCCCCGGCGCCGAGACAACTCCGAGATCCGGTGTCGTAAAAGGTCCTCCCAAGTCAGGGCCGAGCTTCTCAAGAAGGAAAGAAAGTGGGAGGAGACCAGGCCCGGGAGTACGCAACGTCACGACGCCGGAGGCTTGAAGGCAGCGTGGGAGGAGGAGACTTGCTGGAGGCGCGGCCGGGCCAAGACTCCAAGTCCCAGGATGCCGCGGGGCCCGCCGGAGAGTGGGCGGGGCTTGCGGGTGAGCGCGTCCCGCGGGAGGTCTCCGGGTCGCGAGCGTCGCTTCTGGGCGTCCACCAGGCGTCTATATTCCGTCTGGGCGTCAAACTGAACTGTCAGAATAGAGCCCTAACTAGTGTGAAGAGATGGGGATTCCACAGGGAAAGCAGAAGGAGAGGGTAGCCACGTTCCTACTGTAACAATAGGGTTCGAAGAAAGAGTGGGCGTTAAGGAAAGGGTTCGCCCACCCCATTAGGGGCGCGGTCGAAAGGACGAGTGGAGGCCAAATGCTTTAAGTATGACTACAGACCGAAACAGTACTAACCTTCAATAAGAGAATGGCAAGGTTAGCAGCAAATCGAAATGCGTGTTCGTGAATAGTAGGGAGTTGCCGTTCTGGTACACGGATTTAAGCACAAACCTAAGACTTCTGGAGGAGGGGCGAGAGGGAGGAGCTGCAGTGGAATGAGGGAAGAGTTTGGGATGGTGTTCTAATTGAGGTAAAAGGAATGAGGTAATGGATTAAAGAATTGAGGTAAAAATGGTCAACTCACCTGCACCCCCATGTTTATTGCTGCCTTCTTTATAATAGGAAAGACATGGAGTCAATCCAAATGCCCAAAAGTAGATGACTGGATTTAAAACATGTGGTACATATACACAGTGGAATATTACTCAGCAGTCAAAAAGATAAACATGCCTTTTGCAGCAACATGGATGGAGCTGGAAGGGATCATGCATAGTAAAATAAGCTAGACAGAAAAGAAAAAATACCAGATGGTTTCATTCATAGCAGGAATATAATAAAAGACCAGGGGAGAAAATAATAATAATAGTGAGCAACTATATACCAGAGACATTTTATGGGGGTGGAGTGGGGAATGGGATCAGAAATGGGGGTGTGGGTGTAGGTAAGTTCACTGGACTATGGTGATGACACACAGGTGATTTGGTGATGAAAAACCCACGGGATTATAACTAAGATGGGAAAAGGCACAAAATGTTATAAAAGTAAACTATTATGTTTTTTAAAAAATGGTCAGTTCACAAAGTAAAAGTAGGTAAAAATAAATTCACTTTATCACACCTTTCAAACAGGATGTTCCCCTCATTACTTGGATCTGGCCCAGTCCAAGGGTCAAACTCAGTTAAAGGAGGACAATAAAGAAGCTTTTTCTTTTCCCCTGGCCGTATTTTAATAGGACTCTAATTCTGTTACTTTTCACAATATTTTAAGAAATATCTGCTAGCTTTCTGAGTTCATAAATATATTTCCTAACAACCTAGAAGGTCATGTCCAAATTAGGAAAACTAGAATTCTTGGAGATCCAGATGGGTGGTGGGGGGAACTGTTACATTCCTTCTCTTTCCATAACACTGCTCCTTCCCTTGACATGAATGGACACCTTTGAAGCATGGTGACCTGAAATAAGCTGTTCAGTTTCTGGTATGCAACTTAGTTCCTGGTATGAATCTTTTTTCATGTTAGACCATGTACTGCTACCAGACAGAATAGAACTGGGTGTGGGGCAGGTCCCATGACTACTGACCCTGTATCCAAAACCTTACAGAAACTGAAAGTGTCTTTAAGCCCCTCACTTCCTAGAAATGGGGCTCAGCAGTTGGACGTGAATCTGCTGAGTTAGCAGTGGTGCAATAAATCTGCTTCTTATTAGCCCTGATGTCTAAGTTTCCTTTGTGCCATATAACATCTGCCCTCACATCCTAATTCTGCCCACAGTATCACCAAAATACTGACCCTTTTTCTCCCCTTGATTGTCCCTGAACAGTGGGCACAGGCTCAGAAGGACTGAACTAGAGAAATATTTTTGCAAGCCCTGAGACCAACACTGATGAGTAGAGCTACATGTAACAGTAGGGATAAAGTGAGTGAACAAAATAGATTTTAGAAAGATAATTAAAATATGTCATTTATAATTGGTGTTAAAAACAGGAAAATGTGTTTCTGAATGGTACTTTTAAAAATACAGGGAAATAGGCCCTCCCTAGTGGTGCAGCGGGTTAAAGCACAACACTGGGAATCTAAAGCCACTTCCGCATGGGTTTGATTCCCGCCTGCCCCAGAGGTGACCACATGGCGGGCAGACCTCTCCAGATCCGCCTGCTGCTCCCCTCGGCAGTGTACTTCATCGATCTGCCTGTTCTGCTCCCCACTCTGTCTCTGGTGAAGCCTCTCACCGCCCCTGAGCCTCTGGCCTGTACCCCAGCTCTGTATGCACAAATGGATAAATCTTAAAAAAAAAAAAAAATACAGGGAAATAGTGCAGCAAACCTCTTCTTATCTTGCCAGCTACACTTCTCAGCTGTTTATTTCAGTAGATCCACCTGTTCTTTTTTCCATTCTGTCTCTGGTGAATCCTCTCACCTTCCACCATATCTCTGGCCTGAAGCCAATTCTTGCATGCATGCATGCATGCATTAAGTCTTTTTTTTTTTTTTTAAGGAAAAACAGAGTAGCAATTCTTAAACACAATACAACACTGGTTACAGTAGTGAAAACATTTTATTCAGAAGTTGACAGGGTTGCTGAGCCCCATTCTGATTTGTGCAGAGATGATTTGGCAATTGAAAGGGAGAGTGAGGAGAGAAGGACACTGTCAGAAAAGTGAAAAAATACAAAGGATTGGTCTTATGACAAGGCCAGCTGTGTCTTCTAGCTGGCAGTTTTCAAGTAAGGATTCTGCCCTCCCACAGAGACTGGGAGATAGAGGCCTTATATTTCCTGATGATTACATTTCAAAGGAATGATTCCCAGGTCCTTCAGAAAGGAGGACTTTCTGGGTTATAAAAGATACATATTCACAGTTGTAAGCCCTTTAATATAAATGTTCCAACATAGAGAGGTCAGGGACTTATTATCAGGTGTTGACTAGAACAAATAGTAAATTCTTCTGGCAGTCTCAAGCAGGTATTTTAAGAGGGATTGGAGTTGGAGTGGGTTGAGGGGAGCTGAGATCATTCTAGGGACACAGCTTTATTTTGTTAGAAACCATGCTAGAGATAGTTCAAGTCTTTTAGCTCAGGAATTTGGACAGAGTTATTTGCCAAAAAATTTGTAGTTCTCACAAGTTACTATTGGGAAGGGAAGGAAATGGCTTCAATAATATTTTTTAATACTTTATTTCTTAAGCACTGGTAAGTAACTAGGTGTTTGGTGTTCTTTATAGAATTTATACTTTGGTAAATAAAATCTATGCTAATTTAAAAAATTATTTGATTAAGATAAGCACAAAACATAGTGCAACTATGTCATTAACTACCCAAAACATGTTCACTCTTCCCAAGAGGGAGGTATTACCAGGACATATATTATTGTACCTACTTCCATACCCAGGATCTCTGCATCATGTTTCGTTATTCTATGTGGAAAATTTCTTTTTAACATGGAATGGGAGTTTAGATGACAACTGTCAGAAAGAATAAAAGGTATGAATGTAGGTCAAATTACTGTGCTAATATTCAAAACCACTGCTGGATACCTTCAATTAACTGGAGTTTGCAGACACTTTTCTAAAATGGTTTTTAAAACTGTTAAGTGAGTGACATAATAAGGAACTGTTCATTGGTTAAGCTTATTCTTCCCCAATTGTAATTAATTTTGAGTACAATTAAAGCAGTCATTCCTTTATACTCTGTGGTAAGAATACTATTCATTAAAATATATCTCTTGACATTTGTAAGGATTACTTTATTCCATAGACGTAAAGTTGAAACTTCTTTGGCATGCAACTTGCATAATAGTGCAAAGCCCCATGCTGGAAGAATCCCGCACTCCAAATGTTTAGTGCTCTGCTATTGGCATTTTCATTTTACTTTAGACACCCCACAAATATGTAGCTGGGCAATTGGATCAATGCGATATTGATACATAATCCACTTGGGACAAGATTTCAATTGTAACTATTTAGTAATGATATTTTCAGAGGATTTATATCATCCATTCTTTATTAACCTGCTCAACTTTCTGCAGAGAAAATGACATCCAGTGTCATATTCCCCACTGGATAATTTTAGGAATCTGGTTGTTAGGTCAAGTCCTTGAACTTGGTGTGCTTTGGTTCCTTTTCCTTTTACAGATTCCACTGGTTCACATTCTGCAGTGTTTGCATGAGTGTGACTTGTTGAAATCTGCTGAGTTGACATAAACACTGTGTTAGATGAATCTTCTGTCCACTAGCCCTTGCTCCTTTTGCTGGGTCAGGGTCATTCCTTACTTTGTCTTCTCAAAAGACAAACACTACCCTGCCTTGTTAAGCTCCAGGCTACTAGAGTTAATACAAATCCCTGGTTGTAGAGTGTTCTGATCACAAGTCCCTCCACTTGCTCAGGATCTTGCTTGTCCACTTTTTCCTCATATGCACCACTTCCTGAGATGATAAGAACAACACTATGCCCACAGAAATTTTTCTAGCTGGCTGCAGATTTTTGTGTTGTAACTTTGTATTTTCTGTGTCTTAAAAATATCTCAAAGGCCCTTTCTGGTGGTGCAGCAGGTTAAAGCACAGCACTGAGAACCTAAAGCCGCTTCCGCATGAGTTCGATTCCCGCCTGCCCTGGAGGTGACCACATGGCGTGGCAGATCTCTCCTGACCCGTCCGCTGCTCCCCTCAGCAGTGTACTTCGTAGATCTGCCTGTTCTGTTCCCCACTCTGTCTCTGGTGAAGCCTCTCACCGCCCCTGAGCTTCTGGCCTATACTCCAGTTCTGTATGCACAAATAAATAAATCTTTAAAAAAAAAATATCTCAAAGTCCTGCCATTGATCTGGAGTATTATGTGCTAAAAAGAAACATAGAAGTATGGGGTTGTAAATTAAATTTGTTAAATTCAAGTTGTGGACCTCTGCTTTAAAAAACAAAGAGCTAGGGCCCTCCCTGGTGGCTCAAGGGGCTAAAGTACAGCACTAAGAAGCTATCACAG